CCCACTTTCCACCCTTCGTGGCTATGGTTTCCTGAGGGCCCTTTGACAGCCTGACAAGGAGGGGTGCTAGGAGCAAGTGGTTTTGGGCTCTAGGCCATGGCTTTTATCTCCCCTCCACCCCAACCCCAGGCTTGGCCTCTTAGAGCAAGTTTGTTCTTTGGGAAGCCTGTGCAAGGTAGGAGGGCTCTATGGGGCAGAACGGGGAAGGAACATTGCTTTTTGTCTCATCCCACAACAGACCTGCTCATGAAATGAGCCCCAACCAGGTGCTGAGGAGCATCCCTGGCAGGGAGGAAACTGGCTGCTGTGTTACTGTATTAAAATAATAATAAACAGTGTGAATTATTGGACTCTAAGCAGCAGAAGCCAGGTCAGGGTGTTAGACTGGGCCAGGGCCTCATCTGTAGAAGTCCCTTTGTATTGTTCAGGAGTGAGGGAGAGACTAACCCATGGGTTTTTGGGTTTTTCTTTTGATTTTGCTTTTTGGTGAGGCAGTTGGGGTTAAGTGACTTGCTCAGGGTCACACAGCTGGTAAGTGCCAAGTGTCTGAGGCTGGATTTGAACTCAGGTCCTCCTGACTCCAAGGCCAGAGCTCTATCCACTGCGCCACCTAGCTGCACCTGAACCCTTGTTAATTACTGTTTTGGTTTGATTTGATTTTAAAGTGAGAGGGCTGGATTGAATAGCTGCCTCTAGGCCCCATAGGTGCTGGGGATCCCTTCTCAGAGTGATGTTTTTAAATGTATAAAGCAAAATACAGAAGGTGACAAAAGGAACCAAAACCAAGTTTGTGGGCCCCAGATTCGGAGCCTTTGCTCAGAACCTCTGATCCTGTGTGGGAGATGTCTCTATCCCAGGCCTGAGGTTCCCGGAGGTTGGCTCTTATCTCACCTTGCAAGAAGCCCCAAGGGCTGGTGCTGGGGCCAGCAGTTTAGAGCTGGTAGAAGCTGTCACTTCCCAGATGGGCCACCAACATCCGGGGTCCTTGGGAGGTTCCTGGGTGCAGAAGGCATCTGGCAGAGAGGCCTGTGCATTTTTGCCTGGAAGTGCCCTCTCAGTGATCAGAAAGGGCTGGCATTAAAGCTGGAATCCACCTGTCTCCTGGGAATTCCTAGAGCAGGTTGGGGACCCCTCCCCTTCCCTTGTTCACCCAGCCTCTGCATCATTTGGTGAAATCTGGAACCATTTCTTTAGCAGCCAATCGGGGTGAGGAGCAGAAGCTCAGGGCTTGGGGGACCCACACTACCAGGTAGGCTGTGCCTGCAGAATTAATGGGGAGCCCATGTTGGACAGAGACCTGGCTGCATTTCTCAGAGCAAGGAGAGCTCCAGCCCCAGGATTGTCTGCTCATGAGTCATCCTCTGCTCTTGGGGGAGGTCTCCTGGCTCTTCTGTCCTTTCTTGTATTTGTTCATGAGCTGGTCAGATTTGGGTTTTTGCCGGCAGGTGGGAGGGAGGGGTGGGCACATGGAGGTGTTTTGGGAATAGAGAAGAGACAGCTGTGAAATTCACCTGCCTGTGCAGTGGTTAAAAAGCGGTGTTCTTGGGGTGGGGAGGACAAAGAATACATGGGAGCTTGTCGACGGCTGAGCACCTGCTCTGTCTGGGGGCCTGTACCAGGCGCTTGGAGCTGTGGGAGAAACACCAGACCCTTGGAAAAGCTAAGATTTGCATCTGTCTTCAGGGAATTTATAATCTAATTAGAGATTCAGGTCTCATACCCACAAAGACAACACTAGAGAAAATGGAGATACTGAGTGAAGGAAGCGCGTCCTCACCGATGTCCACACTGCCGATGATCATCCAGAACGGGTGTGAGGAGCATTTAGAGAGGGCCTGCTGAGTTCCAGGCACTGCGCTGAGTGCTTAATAAATATGATGGTATTGGGTCCTCCCAACAGCCCTAGGAAGGAGGTGCTGTCAGGCAGCAGTTAGGGTCTTGGAGCTGGGAAGCTCTGAGTTCAAATTTGGCCTCAGACTAGCTGTGTGACCCTGGGTAAGTCACTTCACCCCTGATTCAGTTTCTTCATCTGCAAAATGGGGATAATAACAGCACCTGCTTAAGTACCTGTTACCTCCTAGTCCTTGTGATGGGTGCTGGGGATACAAAGCAAAGTCCCTGCCTCTCCAGGAGCTTACCTTCTCTCTGTCTGGATGGAAGGATGCCCAGCTCTGGCACCGTCTTCTACTGGAGGCACCGCCCAGTTCTCTCTCCCCTCCCGGAATTATTTTGTATTTGCTTCTTCCATATTGTAAACATTTTGTTCTCAACTTAAAAACCCAATAAAACGAGCATTTCCGTCCATATGATGGGATGGGACAAAAAAGGATAGATGGTACATGAAATGATCACGCTCGCAGGTTTGGCTTGCTTCTCTGCTAAGTGTGACCTTCAGAGCTGTCCCGCTGGGCTGCGATTCCTTCTTGCCTTCCTTCGCTCTTTGTAGGTGTTTGTTATGTTCTTATCGCTGTGTTGGTTGTTTCTCCCCAGTAGATGGGGAGCCCTCGGAGAGCAGGGACTGTTTCATTTGGGTTTTGTAAACAATATAAAGCCTGCCTCCCTAAGTGAATGGAATTGGATTATGGGTGAAGTGAATTAGAGGCAGAAAGACTGGGGTTCAGTTCCCATCTCTGACCCATAGTACCTAGACCTCAGGAAGCTCTGTAAGATTAAAAACTTCAGAGCAGGTACTGATTTGCATTGTGAAGGGAATTTCCTTCCTGGAATTTTCCTACACCAAAGAAAAAAACAAGTCTGTGTGCCCACCGCCACCGCCCAAAAAAAAAAAAACCCACCTGTAGAAAGAGGACTCGGCGGGAGAAGATGCTGATATTTAGAAGTGTGGGTTGTCTTTGGCAGAATCCAGCTAATAGCCCATCTCTGCCTGGTTCTGAGACTCCTGACCCACAAGGATCAGTCAGTCAGAATTTATTGCTGTTCAGTTGTTTTCAGTTGTGTCCAACTCTTTGTGACCCCATTTGGGGTTTTCTTGGCAAAGATACTAGGTGGTTTGCCATTTCCTTCTCCAGCTCATTTTACAGATGAGGAAACTGAGGCAAACAGGCTTAAATGACTTGCCTGTGGTCACACAAATAGTAAGTGTCTAAGGCTGGATTTGAACTCAGGAGGATGAGTCTTCCTGACTCCAGGCCAGATACTCTTTTCACTTGCCACCTAGCTGCCCTGTCTCCCCATTTAGAGTGCTTAAAATATATCCTGCATTGCACAGTAGATAGAGAACTGGACACGGAGTCAGGTCTTCCTGAGTTCAAATCTTCAGGTATATCAGCTATGCATGTGTGTGGCCAAGTGATTTCATGTCTCTGGGCCTCAGTTTCTTTATCTGCAAAATGGCCTCAAAGGTCATCTCTGATCCTATGAGAGCTGGCCAAGTACATCCCTCTTGTCCTCTTTCCCCAAATAAGCAGCTAGATAGAACAGTGGGTAGAGCTCTGGGCATGGAGTCAGGAAGATCTGAGTTCACATTTGGCCTCAGACTGGTTTTGTGCCTGTGGACAAGGCACTTCACCTACGTCTGCTTAATTGCTCATCTGAGAATAGGGATGCTACATTCATAGCACCAAGCTTCCAGGGTTGTTCTGAGGATCACAGCAGAGACTGTTTATAAAAAGCATGGGCACATAGTAGGCCTAGATAAATGCTCATTCCTTCCAGCTCCCAAGGCCATGCTGCTGACTGCCATTTTTCCTCCAAGCTTTAGCCGTGGAGCAGATGGCAAGTGGGCTTTGGCCTCCTCTGGTTGCAGCTCGGAGATCAGGGCACCCATTGTCTGCCAGGAGCATTGGGCCAGTTTGTCTTCCTGCCCACCTGGGGGCAAGAAACCAGACCTGACCTGGGGTCGTTTAAGCACCTACTATGTGCCAGGCAGCTAGCAGAGATCGGTATTCACCCAGAGCTCCGCCTTGCAGCGGAGGTTTGGAGGGAGGGGAGAAGCCATCGGCTTCCATTGGAGGTCCCAGAATTCCTTGTGCAAAATTGATGTAAAGAGTGATTGTATTATTTTTAGGCTTCCAGAGCTGAGAATGTATCCATCCAGTTGCCCTTTCTCCCGGCCCCAGTTGAGCCCACAGGCATTGAGGCTGAGCAGCTGACATCCCCCTAGCACAGATCCCCCAGTGTCTGGCTTTGGGATTATCTGGTGGTCACCCACCTGTCACACACGCGTGCAGGGCAAGGGGACTGACCAATAGGGAGTGCAGCAGTGGGGGGGCCTTGTTGTCAGATTAGGACAGCTGTCCAGCAGCCTTGGGCTGGACTCTGATATTTATTTCACTTGCTTTTGCATCAAGCAGTGCTGTTCCCTTCAGCCCACAGCATTAAGAAAACTCCCCTAGGCTGTGTTTCCAGAGCGTGGGGAGGTGGCTGGGCCCCCTGTCTGCCGTGGGTCTTGTATAGGACTGAGTAACCATGTCTGAGCAGCCAGACCCAGGCTTCTGGAAGCTCCAGGGCTTCATGAGAATCTGGCAGAGTTTAGGGATCAGAAGAGGGTGAGTGTTACCTTTGCGTTTCGTCCAGCCTCCCTTGGGGCCCTCCTGGGCCTGCAGCCTGGGCCCCACACCGTCTGGGTCAGGAAGCAGCCAGGCCACTTGTTGGGAAAGAGCTGCTAGAGAGGCCCCTCTCCTCCTCCAGGAAGGCCTCTTCCTTCGTTCTGGGGCCGTGTCCCAGGAGCTGTCACGTGGCCACCTGCCTTCAAGCTCCCTCTGTTTTTCCTCCCTGAAATGTTCTTACATCTGGACAAGGGCATCATCATAGCATCAGTGGAGAGCTTTCTCTGGCAGAAGAGGAAGCTGAGGCCCAGAGAGACGCAGCAGCATGTCCGGGTGGTCAGCTTCAGAGCCAGGACGCCAGACTTAGGTCCTCCAGCTCCAAATTCTGTACTCTCAGACCTCGCCTGATGGGTTCGCCCCAATTCTGCAGGTGGGCTTGCTCCCTGGCTATTGCTTGCTCCGCCACTGATTACTCTCTCTTTTTGTGTTTAGGAAAAAGCCGACACACACAACTGTCAACTGCTGGTTCTGTAATCAGGACACCGTGGTGCCCTACGGGAACCGGAACTGCTGGGATTGCCCCAACTGTGAACAGTACAATGGCTTCCAGGAGGTAGGGCCCGGGAGCGAGACCCTCAGGGAACAGGCAGGGGATCTCTGTCCACAGCAGCTCCAGGGGGGAGGTCAGGACTCTGCTTCCCACCTGTGGATCGTGTCTGTGATTAGAATATAAGTTCCCTGAGGACGGGGATGGCTAGCCCTCAGCTCAGGGCCTGGCGCACAGCAGGCACTTCAGGAATGCTAGATGAGTGGCTGATTGCTGTGCCTTCTGACCTGTCTCCCAGTTAATGGAGTCAGATTCTTGGATGGGTATTGCTTCCTGTGGGAGGTAAGGCCTTCACCCAAATTCAGGCCCGTGTCACCTCTCAGCTGGCCAGACTCCCTGCCTTCTGCATCTCACACTCTATTCCATGCTCCCAGGGATGCCAGAACCGTGTCACTCCCATGCTCAAAGATATTCAGTGGCTCCCTATTGCCTTTCAGATAAAACACTTCTGGCTTCAAAAACACATTCCTTGCTGCCTTCTAGCCTCATCCTCCCTCTCTCTACCATTGTCTGTGCCTGGTCCCTTCCTAAGGAAGGGTCCCAGAGTCCTTCACCTCCACATTTACTGCCCTTCTACCTGTCGCAGTCCCTCCTTTCATTGCTCATTTCAGGGGCCACGTCACCCAAGACACCTCAGTTTCTCCTCCCCCACACACCCCTGAAAATGTTCTCTCTCTGTCTCCGGCTTACTCTCTGTCTCTTCATCCCTCTGTTTGTCCCTCCATCTCTATGTGTGTCTCTCTCTGCCTCCATCTTTCTCTGTCTCTGTCTCCCCCTCCCCTTATTTACTGTGTCCCCCTGTCCAGTCTTGCCCTTTGCCCTCAGCAGCATTTGCCTGCATCCCTGTCTTGTCTTTTGCCCGCCCCTCTCAGAACATAGGCCCCTGGAGGGGCTTGCTCAGGTGGGTTTGGGCCCGCGTCCTGTTCTTCTTTCTTCTTCCATCCCACTCTGCTCTCTGTGCCCACACTGGCCCTGAGTTGTTCCTCGGACTCAGCCCTCTCTTCATCTCCTGTCTCTACACTTTTGCCCTGGCAGTTTGCCCACGAACCTGATGTGTCCCCCTTGCCCCTGTCTTCGAGGCCTGGCTCTGGTGTCTCCGGCTGCGGGCACCCTCAGTGACACCTCCTTTCTTGGGAGGTGGGGTGGGATCCTTTGCGGGCTTTGGACTCACTTTCTTCATCTGTGAGATGAGGGGATTGGATGAGATGCCGCCGTGGTTCCCAGGGGCTCAGGTCCTCTCCACTTGTCACACGTGTCCCTCCATAGATGATAAGCTCTTCGGGGACAGGATGGGACAGGACCAGCGCCCCTGCCGGGGGCTGCCACCCTTGACTGTCTCCCCTCCCCTTCCCCCCCTCCCCCCACAGAACGGTGACTACAACAAGCCGATCCCTGCCCAGTACCTGGAGCACCTGAACCATGTGGTGACCAATGCCGCGCCCTTCTGCGACAGCCCCCAGCCCCAGCAGTGGGTGAGCAGCCAGGTCCTGCTGTGCAAGAAATGTAACAACCACCAGACGACCAAGATCAAGCAACTGGCGTCCTTCGCGCCCCCCGGGAGGAGGTGAGATGGGGCTGCCAGCTGGGGGAGGGATGGGAGGGGCCGCTCTCTCTAGCCTCTGGACAAAGGTTTTTTTATTGGTCAAGGTGAGCTGGGTGGCAGCCCTGTCATCCCCAGTTCCTGGCCTCTTCCCTCTTGCCTTCTCCACGTCTCGGTCTTAGATTGCGGTGGGTTCACCGGAGCCTGCTGGTGGCCTTGGACACTGCCTGGGACTCTAAGCAAGTCAGTTAACCCTGCTTGCCTCGGGTTTCCTCATCTGTAAAGTGGGGTTAACAACACCCCCTACCTCCCAGGATTGTTGTGAGTATCAGAGGAAATACCTATGAAATTACTTAGCACAGTGCCTGGCACACAGTAGACCCTGTATAAATGCTTCTTCCTTTTCCTTCCCCTTCCCTCTCTGAACTCTGACCATAGTGGAGAAAGTGCTGGCTTTGGAGTCAGGACCTGCATGCACACTCTGTGTGTTAACCTCTCTGGCCTTAGTTTCTCCATCTGTAAAATGAGGACATTCATTAGATGCCTCCAAGGTCTCTTGGGGCCCCAAATCTATCATGTTAGGACCTTTCTGGGCCAAGCACCGGTTGTCCTCTGCCTTGCCTGCCCCGACATTCCTTGTTGTGCTATTTCTGCATCAGCCTCCCTCCCTCCCCCTATCCTGCAGGTAACTGGTTTGTACCGGCATCAGGCTGCTGCTGAGAGCAGGGTGCCATGGTAACCAGGCAGGCGCTCACCCGAGGCCCTCCTCCCTCCCAGACACAAAAGTGGCTTTTGTTGCAGAGCTGGGGCGTGGGGGGAGTGGGAGCTTCAGGCCCCAAGGCCAGTGAGCCCCTGTGGCTGGGGAGGGCTGGATCCTGCCCCCAGGGGGGCCTGGGAAAGGGTGCAGGCATCTGGCCTGGCCAGTCCTGGGTTGTTGTCACAGCCCCCTGCCCAGGCCCTTGGGGATGTAGCCTCTGATTCCTGGGAAAGGGAGGAGGGAGCAAACAGAGGTCTTTGTGTCCCCAGCCCCCAGCACAGTGCCCTACACAGCAGGGGCTTAGCAAGCACTGCTTGGCTGGTGGATGGCTCTGGGAGGAGAGCCACCTTGTGGCCAGGAGAGGGAGCCCAGAGTGTGGCCGAGGGGCTTTCTAGGATCCAGGCAAGGACGACTGCGGCCGGAGTGATTGGTGTTTACAGAGTACTTTCAGACCCGCAAAGTAGGCAGCGCAGCTGCCGTCATCCTCGTGTTACAGATGAAACTAAAGCTCAAAAGTCAAGTCCCTCGTTCTTGCTCTCACAGTTACTAGGGTCAGAGGTGGAATTTGAACCTAGGCCATCCTAGCTCCGAGGCCGACACTAAAAGAGAGAAACACGGGTGCTTCAAGTCCCAGCTGAATTCCACCTCGTCCAGGAGGCCTTTTCCAGGTCCCTTGATCCTAGGGCCTTCTCGTCTTGATGATTTCTAGTTTGCCCCATCTGCAGTCACCCCGTTGGACTGGGAGCTCCTTCAGAGCAGGGGCTGTCTTTGGCCTTTCTTTGTATCCCCAGGTCTTAGGACGGGACCTGGCACATGCTGGGTGCTTAATAAATATTGATTGACTGGCTGACAGAGCCATCTTGACCAATAACTAGTTGGCTCCTTGCACTGTGTGCTTCCTTATTCCTTCGTGCTTCTCCCCACCACTGCTTCAGGGGTCAGAGGAGCTGCCCACTTGGCTCTCTCCATCAGATGTGGAGGACCGCAGAATCTGAAGGCTGGAGGGAAGGCCAGAGGCCCTCTGGTCCAGCCTGTGCCCGAATCCCCTCTGTCATTTCCAACATTCAGTCAGCCGGCAAACATTTATTAAACACCTACTGTATGTGCCAGGTGCTTAATGTGATCACTGGGGATACAGAGAAAGGCAGAAGACAGCACCTGCCCTCAGGGAGCTCGCATAACGGAGGGAGACAACAGGCAGACCAGTAAGCAGCTGTCCACCGCTTACTCGAAGACATCATTGAATTATAGAGCTGACGAGCACCGTCCAGTCCAGCTTACACCCAGAAGGAGTCCCCACTATCCTGTGCCCAGCCAGTGTTTGTCCAGCCACTGCTTGATGGGCCCGAGGAGGGGAGCCCACCACCTCCTCGGGCTGCCCAGTGCCCTCTTGGGTAGTGCCAACCGTCCCCCCCCACCTCCTCGTTTGTGCTCTGAGGCTAGGAGGAGTGAGCAAAGCCCGGACAGAGAAGTAGAAAGGAGGCTGGGCTTACTGTCCGAGGACCTGAGCTTGAATCCCAGCTCTGCTACTCACTGGCTGCGTGACCCTGGGCCAGTCACCTCACTTCTGTGAACCTCAGTTTCTTCATCTGTGAAATGAGGAGGTTGGCCTAGATGTCCTGTGAGGCCCCTTACGGCTTTCACTCCGGGGTCCTGAGTGGATCCCTCTTACTCGATGGCCGCCTTGTGCCCCTGAGGCTGAACGTTCCTGGCTCCTCGGGCCGGTCCTCCCCTGGGCCGCCTTGCTTAGTTTGTGCCCGAGAGTTGCCCTCAGCCGGCGCTTACCCTGGGCTGCCCGCTGCTCATGCCCCTCAGACCCACCCCGAGATGCCCTCTCCTTCTGGCGGGTAACTGCATTCCTGGGCTGAAACCCTAGATCTCCAGACTGGAATGTGGCACTGACAGGAGGGGAGGCTCCCAGGGAGTCTGGAGCCATGCCAGGCATCTCTGTGGCAGGAGAGACGGCTGAGCCTGGGGAAGGGGGGAAGAAGAACTGATGCCGAAAGCTCTGCCACCCCGCTGAGGCCCTGACGGGGGCCCAGACCAGGGTGACCCAGAGGGAGAGGTGGCCCTTCTGAGAGCCGCAGATGACATCTCTGAGGAAAGAGAAAGAAAGGAAGGAGAGGAGCTGGTGGGGAGAGGGAGGGGGAGAGATGGGGGAGAGGAAGGGGGAGAGATGGGGGAGAGGAAGGGGGAGAGATGGGGGAGAGGGAAGGGGAGAGATGGGGGGTAGAGAAGGGAAAAAGATACAGGAATGGGGGAGAGATGGGGGGGAGGGAGTGGGGGGGAGGCAGGAATGAGAGGCAGGGAGAGGGATGAAGGAGAACGGAGGAGGGAGGACAAGCTCCTGCTCGTGCTCCATCAAGGCTGATGAGTTCCTTGTTTCCATGGAAACAGGGGGCCTCCTCTGGGTCTACAGCCGGAGAGGTCATTGAGCGGAGGGTGGAAAGTCACCCACGTTGGGGGAGGGGATTGGCTGATACCTTTAGGCCCTTCCCTGAGCATGGGCAAAAATGGCTGTCTCAGTGTCCTCTGAGGTAGGACAGAGGTCCCGGGTACGAGGCTCCCTTCTGCAGTCCTGTAGCCACCCTTATCCTTTCTTCTGAGATTGAGCTGTTTGTTCGTGGCACCATCACTTGGGCATAACCCTTTTAAGCCACCTGGGGGGTGAGGGAGACGACAATAAAGCCACTTGGGGTCTCGTGGCTTGTCCAGAGATATTGTGTCAGGGAATGCAGCTGATGGAGTGATGGAGTCAAGAAGACCCGTGTTCGAATCCTGCCTCACACGCCCACCTAGCTGTGTAACCTTAGGCAGGTTAATTAACCTTCCTCAGTCTCAGTGTTCTCACCTGTGAAATGAAAATAGTAGCACCTGCCTTACGGGGTTGTTGGGAGGAATCAATCACAGGAGATAACATTGGTAAAGCACTCAGCTAACCTTTACTCACTCTACTGTACTATCACCATCATCTTAAAGGCTTCTCAAGCCCGTGCGCCATGAGGATCAGGGGAAATCACTGGGGCTAGAGAAGAGAAGGAAGTAGGGGTGTGAAAAACAGGCTAGCTGTCCTTTGAAAGGACTCGGCCTTGCCAGGAACAAGTGAGTGGTGGTTACAGATTTTGACTTGATGTCAGCAACAGCTCACCAGTCAGGGCTGGCCCCGAGTAAAATGGGTTGCCTCGGGAGGGCTGGCCTGTCCTCCCTGCAGACCTTCCTGGGATGGCTGCGGGTCCCTGTGGCAAGGACATTTCGGGTAGATACTACTTAGCATTTTAAGGAAAGCACCATTTACTCTGAGGCGTCTTGGTGTTTTACAGGAATGCGTGTCGTGTTTTGTCCAAACCTTTTCTATATCTATTGAAAGAATCATGATTTCTGTTGGTTTTGTTTTTAAGGTGGTCAGTTATGCTTACTTCTTAATATTAAACCAGCCTTGCATTCTTGGTATAAATCCAGCCTGGTCACAGCATATAATCTTTGGGACATGTTGCTGTAATCTCCTTGCTAATCTTTCCTTTAACATTTTTGCATGTCTTCATTAATGAAATTAGTCTGTAGTTTTTTTCTCTGTTTTGACTCTGTTTGGGTTAGGTATCAAGACTATATGTGTGTCGAAGAGGGAATTTGGTAGGACTCCTTATTTTCCTAAAGTTTGTGTAGTATTGGAATTAATTGTTCTTTAAATGTTTGGTGGAATTCATTTGGAAATCCATTTGGTCTTGGGTTTTTTTCTTTTGGAGTTCACTTATGACTCGTTCACTTTCTTTTTCTAAGATCAGGTTATTTAAGCATTTTATTTCCTGTTCTGTTAATATGAGTAATTTACATTTTTGTAATATTCATCCACTTCATTTAGATTGTCAGTTTTATTGGCATATTATTAGACAAAATAGCTTCTAATGATGGCTTTTATTTCCTCTTTATTGGTTGTGAATTTACCATTTTCATTTTTGATAGTGGTCATTTGGTTTTCTTTTTCAAAATCAAATTAGCTAATGGCTTGTCCATTTTATATTTTCTTTTTCAAAAAAAAAATTAGCTCCTAAATTTTGCAAGGGCATCACTAAGAGGCATGCATGTTCAAGTATGGATTAAACTAGATGGATCATTGATTTTGGCCTGCAAGGATCATCAAAGGCCGTCACCTCCATCCCGCTCCTTCATTTTACAGATTGAGAAAGCTAAGGCCCAGAGAGGTAGGGTGAATTGACCAAAGTCACATAAGCAGTCAGCATCAGAAGTAGTATTTGAATGCAGGTCCTCTGATATCAGAGCCAGGGGTCTTTCCACTCTACCACGATAGCCCTTAAGGTCCCTTCCAGGTCTGAGAGTTTGCAGTCAGACCCTGCAAGGCAACATCCAGGAGGAAACCCAACGCCTCAGCGCACCTGAGCTCTCTGCCTTCCTCTCTTCTCCCTAATCCTCCCTCCTCCTCTGTCTTCCTCTCCCTCCATATTCATTCCTCCAGCTTCATCTCCTCCCCATACAGTGCCAGCAGGTGGAGTGTGGAGCACCATCTAAGTATTTCCCTTGCCAATCCAAAGCCTCTGTTCTCAACAGGGTAAATATGATGAGGAAATTGAAGTCTACAGACACCATCTGGAGCAGATGTACAAGCTGTGCCGGCCCTGCCAGGCAGCTGTGGAGTATTACATCAAACACCAGAACCGGCAGTTGCGGGCTCTGCTGCTCAGCCACCAGTTCAAGCGGCGGGAGACAGACAAGACCTACATGCAGGTAGAGAAGGGACTCGAGCTGCTTGACAGCAGGTACTCATAAGGTGGTCATTTGAGAAGGATTTTCCCATAACAATATTAATAATAACGGTTAGGTTCCCACACTAGCCTGCTGAAACTTGTGTAGCCCATAATGTTGTTTTTCAGTCATTTCAGTCGTGTCTGACTCTGTGACCCCATTAGAGACTGTCTTGGCAAAGATCCTGGTTTGCCAGTTCCTTCTCCAGCTTACTGAGGAAACAGGGTGAAGTTACTTGCCCAAGGTCACACAACTAAGTGTCTGAGGCTGGATTTGAACTCGGGTATGAAGTCTTCCTGACTCCAGGACTGGTGCGCTCTACACTATGGCGCCCCCTAACAGCTCCATCCTATAACATAGAGGTGTCGAAGTCAAATAGGAACAGCGGTCACTAAACCACACATGAGGGTCTTTGTGGGGATGGACTTAGAAAAGGGGAATGAGCCTTTGTGTGGCAGCTGCTGCGTGCCTGGCACTGTGGTGAGCCCTTTACAAATATTCTCTCCTTTGATCCTCATAATAATGCTGTGAGAGAGGTGCTGTTATTATCCCCATTTTACTGTTGAGGAAACTGAGGCAAACAAAGGTTAAGTGACTTGTCCAGGGTCAGATAGCTAGGAAGTGTTCAAGGTGGGGCACTTGACCTCAGGTCTTCCCAACTCCAGGTCCAACACTCTACTGCACCACTTAGCTGCCTGTGGAAAACCACATGTTAATATCTACGTTCTGTTGTATTTTCATTTATTATTAAACTAAATTTCCCCATTATATTTTAGTCTTGTTGGAGTATGGGCTTAGTTGTTGACACCTCTCCTGTAATGTGTACCCAATGCGTTCCCATTTTTTGTGTAGGAAAACTGAGGTGTGAGGAGGTCATACATCTCACACAATCACGTGTAGCTGATTTAGTAAGGAATGGAAATGGTCATTACCCTAGTACAGACTGCTTAGATTTCAGGAGAGCAGATTTCAGAAGTTTTGAATAAAGAGTGAGTAAAATCCCATTGCCAAAATTCCAAAGGGCAGGGGTGGGGTTGGGAAACTCTACAGGGTGAGCTTACCAAACCACAAGAAGACATTTCTGAGTAGGAAGGCTTAGTGGGACAGAGTACTGATTTTGGAGTTGGGACTGGGATTCAAATCCCAGCCACTTAACTACCCTTGTGACCATAAGCACATCCCTTCCTTTCTCTGGGCCTCAGTTTCGCCATCTGTAAAATGAGGGAGTTGACCTCTAAAATCTCTTCCGGTTCAGATTTTGTGAGTAGGAGCTAAGTCTCTTCTTGATAAACCCCTTCTTCTCTCCCTCCCCCTCCTCCCTATTTGCTAGCTAGAGTGTGATCAGGTAGAATTCTAGAAGCTAGCCTGGTAGGCCCTGCCCCCCGGAGAGTCACGCCTCACACAGACAAAGGGAGGGAAGGGGAGTTCACTGTGTGAATCATGCTCCTCTAGGAGAGCCCTGAGAGTCCTGGGTGCTGTGTGGGCCTCCTCTGCCCTCCCCGTTCTCCTCCACCTCTCCTGGACCCAGATCCCCCAGTGAGCTCTTGGACGCTGTGCCCTAGACTCTGGCCCCAGATGCGGTGCGTGAGTCCTCAGTTCTTTTCCTTTTCTCCTCCTTAGAGCTTCTGTTCTTCACCAGTGACTGCTCCAGCCCAGGTCATCCTCCTCCGACTCCTCGCCTTCCTCACCTGCAGCTTCCTGCTTGTCACTGCCCTGTGCGGCTCTGCCCGTCCCTTCTCCCCAGCTGCCTCCCGGAGCCCTGCTCTGCTGGCAGGGGGGAACGTCTCTTCCTCGGGGACCTCGGCCTCGTCCAACGCCACCGTTGATCCAGGGCCCCTGGGTTGGCATCAGCTGCTCCGCCTGCTTCCCGAGCGTGTGCTGGAGAAGCTTTGTGAGGCCTGGGACTTGGGCCAGAGCCACCAGATGGTGGTGGTGGCGTCGGGCCTGCTCACCTGCCTTCTGGCCATGCTGCTGGCTGGCCGCATCAGGTGGGTGCCAGGGGCTCTGGGAAGGAAGGTGGCGGGGGTTGTTCTGGCTCATAGGGAACATAGAATTAAGAGATCATCGTGCCCAACTTCAGGGCTTGGCATCAGGAAAATTTGGGTTCACATCCCGCTGGTGACACTCATCGTAGTAGCCTCCCACAGTGTAGCCAAAGGGCATGATACTCAGCTGGTCTCCTGTACCTCCCTTTTCTCTCTTGGAGCTGGCTCACTTACCTAGATCAGCCCTCATATGTCTGAGTTTTTTCCCCCAGAGAGGCCCTGCAGTGGCCATGGCCCCAAAGTGAAAACTTAAGTTCTCTCAGAATCTGAGGTGTGCAGGAGGGACATCCTCATGCTAACTGGTGGTGTGGCTTCTGAGCTTCCCGTTTACAGGAAGCCAGGCACCACGGTGCCGCTGGCTCCTTTTCTTGGACACTCCTAATGCCATTAATTCTTAAACAGAAAACATTGACTTGGTGATAAAGCAAGAGCAGTGAGAATCACAACACTTACTTGAGAAGGAATAATCCAGACAGAGAGATGGACTCACAGGCCTGGGTCACAGCCTTCCACCAAGGCACGCAGCATCCATGGAGATAGTGCGCGCACACACAGAAACCCAACGAGGGAGGAGATGAGTCGGGAAACCCGTGTGCCTGAAGCAGTTGGTGGCTCTGGAAGGCCAGCTTTAATATCCAGGATTCCTGGAGTCTGCTGCACTCATAACCTTCCGTGTTATTCCCAGACCACTAAACAATGATAAAACTCTGCCACCCAGGGCAGGATGATGAGGTATTACTCTCTTTCGGTGGCAAACAGACCCCCACCCCAAGCCAGAGAACTGACAAGGACCTCAGCTCTTTTGGGGGGCCCTACGGAGTTTCTCCTTTCCCCAGTCAGCTCTTCAAGTAGCAGGGACTTCAGCTTCATCCAGTTGGCTCTCAGAGAAAGCAAGCTTCTTCTCCCTGGGAAATGCAACAAAGACTCTGTCTCCTCAAACCAGAGGGGGCAGTTGAGAGCAATACAGATAGTTGCAAATTAAATACGAGGTGGCTGGGAGGGTTGGTGCCTGAGCTGTGTCTTAGAAAGAGGAGAGACTTGGTGAGGAGGAAGTACGCCCCAGGCCCGTGGGATGGCCGAGACACCAGCAGGAGATGGGAGCTGGCGTGCATGTCAGAAGAGAAAAGACTAGATGGCCTGCATCACCGGGAGAGGAGAGGCGGTCACTGAAGACAGAGGCAGCTTCTCGCGTCTCCCGTTGTTGCTAACATAGCATAGTCCCGCCTTTTTGTCAGACGTGATCCCCGCAGCCTCAGGTCCTAGGAACGCTTTGAGGATTCCCGGCGTGATCTCATAGTCCCAGATAGTTATTTGGTTTACAGTGTCTCCATTATCACCTTTAAAGCTCTGGAAGCAGTCTCGAGTAAATGAGCTGATGGACTATGATGCCCTGCAGCCATTATTACCTCAGTCCTACCCTTGAAACAGTTAACAAGCATTTATTAAGCACCTGCTGTGTGCCAGAGCAACTAGGTGGCCCAGTAGATAGAGTGTTGGGCCTGGAGTCAAGAAGACTTGAGTTTAAATCTGGCCTCAGATGCTTACTAGCTCTGTGACTCTGCACAAGTCACTTCATCTCTGCCTCAGTTTCCTCATCTGTAAAATGAGCCGAAGAAGGAAATGGCAAATCACTCCAGTGTCTCTGCCAAGAAAACCCCAAATAGGGTCACAGAGAATCAGATATACGTGACTGAAACAACTGAACAACAGCTGTGTGCCAGGCTCTGTGCAAAGTGCCAGGGAGACAGAGAAAGGCAAGAGACAGTCCCTGCCCTCGGGGAGCTCCCAGTCTAATGGGGGAGACTGTGAAAACAGCTCTGAGCACCCTTCATCAGGTCCTCAGAACCGTCCTTGTGTCCGGAGAGGTCATCGGGTCAGGCTTATCTTTGTCTGCTCTTCTTTAACAGAGGCCCTTTTTCTGCCCGTCTGTGAAGGTAGGACCTTAGAGAGGATCATCATTTGGGAGCTGGAAGAGACCCTAGAGGCTGGCTAGTCCGGCCCCTTCATTAAACAGGCGAGGAGGCCGAGCCAAGAGAGGCGAGGCAGAGCAGACGCTGCTTCTGAGCCCAGCTCCTCTGGGAGCAGCCAAGGAGGAAAGCTCACTGTCGGACATGCAGAAGATGCTGAATAAACACTTTAGCGATCAGAGGAATGAGAAGAGCCACAGTGGTGCAGAGGGAAAGGGCTGCAGGGTAGGGAGGAAGGAGGAAGAAGGCCTTCTCCTGGCTTCGTTCCTCCCTCTGGGACCCTGGGCAAGTAACTTCGCTCCCTAGGCCTCAGGATTTCCTCAGGAGAAATATCCTCTGGGGTCCCTTCTGACTCTAGCATATGGTCTGCCAATAAAGAGGAAGTAGAAGAAGGGGTCTCAGGACTGTAGAGCGGGGGACAGGGAGTCGGTGGGCCCCTGGTGGGTGTTGAGGGGGTCCATGGGGACTCATTCTGGCCCATTCCCAATCCCTGCAGGCTCCGGAGGATCGATGCCTTTTCCTCCTTCCTGTGGTTTCTGGTCCTGGGGCTGCACCTGGTAGAACGCTACTTAGAGAGGGACCCCCCCAGCTGGCTCGACACGCTCAAGTTCAGCGCCACATCCCTGTGCTGCCTGGTGGGCCTCACTGCAGCTGTGGCTACACGGAAAGCAACGGGCCAGCGGAGATACCGGCCCCGAAGGTCAGAGCTCCAGCAGTGACAGACTGGGGGGAGGGGCTGTGGTTTTAAACAACAGAGCGCAAAGCTTGGCATCCTCCACCTGAGGGGTGCTTCTGTCTCTCTCCTCTCCTCCCCTCTGCACCCACATATCTCCTAATAGAGACAGTCAGGACTCTTCCTGTCCCCCCACTGCTAGCTCTCTGCACAAATACGAGTCCCTTCCGGACAAAGGCCCGGCTCACCTGCCTCGCTCCTCCCTCTCAGAGCCCATCAGTGACCCTCCTGCCACCCAGGCCCACTCGTCACGCTGCAGTGCCCACCACAGAGCCACTCTGTCTGGCTGTTCTTGGAGGGGCACCCTTGCCTCCTGAACTTCAGCCTGGCGTCCTGGTCCTGAAACCAGTGGAGGTTTTCATTGTTGTTGCCTTTTTTCTCCCCAGTAACCCTCCTGTCCTTGTTTTTGGGGCATGTGGGTAGGTAAGAAGGCAGAACTCCCTTTTGTTTCTTCCTTTCCCTCCTTAAAGGATGGGAGTTGCGGGGCTGCTCTGCCTCCCAGCATGGCCTGACCTCTCTCTCCTGTTGCTTCTCAGCCTTCCCTGGCGAGGAAAGGGGTGGGGTTTGAGGTCAGGAGTCAAGGCTCCAGGACATCCTAACTGTCCTGAATGTTTAGAACCTTCCCATTTATATTGTCATCTGCCCTGGCCCTTTCCCACTCCTCCAGTGCCTAGAACACTGTCATTTTTTCAGTAGGGAAGAAGTCCCCAGGCTGGGAATCTGGAGACTGGAGTCCCTGCTCTGCCACTAACTGTGAGACCTTGGGAAAGTCACTTCTCCATCTCTGGGCCTTCTTTCCCTTGCCTATAAAAAGACAGGGTTGGACAGTGATTTCTAAAGGTGTTTCTGGCTTTTGAGATTCTATGTTCTGTGTTCTAAGTCTCCTTCAAGCCCTAATATCCTGTGACTCAGTGTGACTGCCAGGAGTAGTCAGTCATTAAACATTTATGAAGTGCCTGCTGTGTGCCAGGTACTGTGCTAAGTGCTGGAGATAGAAAAAGAGCCAAAAGACATGAGCTAATAGGACTGGGGGCAGGGCACACCCACTCACCCCTTCACAGATTCTCCCTCTGAGTTAGCTGCCCTGGCCCAGCAGGGACTCTGGGATGGGCCCCCTTTGAGCCCACTGGCCACCTCCTCTCAGCCCCTACAAGGTAGGCAGTGATGGAGTTTGAGGTGGGAGAGCCTGGGTACAAATCCCAGCACTGCCTCTCACTGGCTGTATGCCATCAGACAAATCCCTTAACCTTTCAGGGCCTCAGCCTCCTCCACTGTCGAATGAACAGTGGAGTAGATGACTCTTGAGTTCCTTTGCAGATCTGAATCCCAAGATGCCAGTGGAGCAGGGCAGGGCGGTTGGTACCCTCTGCCCTTCATCCCTCTGTGGGTCCATGCTGGATGTCTCTTGACTTCTAACTCCCCAGGCCCCTGAGAACAGGAGGAAGGCCACCTGCCGTCTTTGGCATCTTCCTCTCGTCAGAAAATTAAAGCCCGCCTGGGGTGGGTGGGTCAGACCATCTCATCAAGGGGAGACCAAGGATTGGGATCTTCCCTGAGTTTGTCGGCCCCCAGGGTCCCCAGGCCTGTTTTTGAGCCCCACTCCTGCCTGTGAAACTTCAGGCTGTCCAGTCCATCTTGTCATTGGCCCCTTCCTTCTGTGGAAGGTCTCTTTGGCTGCTTTCTTGCTCCTGGGAGATGATCATCTTTGGCTCATTCTAGCAGCTGCTGCAGCACACACTCAAGTGGCCTGCTAATGCCCAGCTGGCTGAGTGGGTGAGTGACTGGATAAAGGAAGGAATGATTGAAAAAGCTTTTATTAAGTGCTTCCTCTGTGCCTGGAGCTGAAGATACAAATGGGAAAAAGACAGCCTTCTCCCTGGAGAGCTGCCCTCCAGAGAGTTCTGCTGCTACGGGGATGGGAAAGCCTGGACCCCTCTCCGGGAGGGATTCCTTTTGTATCAGATCCCTGAAACCTGACTAGATTCCTGGTGCATAGTGAGCGCTTAACATGCGCTCCCACCGTCTTTGAAAAGGATTCTTATCCCTGTTCTGGCAGAGCCTTCTCAGTGATCATTCCCTTCTCCATTCCACCTGCCAGCCTTGCCTCTCTTTAGGCCTTTCTGCTGGGGAATGCCGCAGGTTGTACAATCAAAGGCCTCATTTTGTAGCATTCGCCCCCCATTTCTTATGATTCCATGTCTCCTGATTTGCCAGCAGGGGATATCCTATTAGGCTTTCAAAACATGGCATTGTTTTTTTTCCTCAGACTTCTCTCATTTTCCCTGGGATGTCTCCTAAATGGCACCTCCTTATTAACCCTGGCATACTTGAGGACAGAATTATTACCCTGGTGTGGTAGCCTTCCATTCTACAAATTCTGGGGATTGATTTGGAGGCCTCTATTTGGGCCTGACTTCTAAAGGCTTACCATCCCCTGGCCCTACAACTTAGCTTATAAGAAGCCAGGAGGAGGATCAGCGAGACCTTTCTCTTCCTGCCTTAGCTCAGCTTATCTCCCCATCACCATTTGTTTAGCACTTTCCACCCAGAGAGTGGTCTTCTGTCATTTTTGTACAAGTCAGCAGGCATCTGACCTGCTCTTGGGGAAGATTAAGTGTAATGCAATGGGTAGAAGTGGTGGGCAGAGGCTCTGTAGCTGTCGACAAGGCCCTCGTTGTCAGGGCCTCTCCAGGTGGTCGTGCCACTGTCCCCCTCCATCCTTCCTCCCTCTGGTGTGGTGCATCTCACCATCAATGCCTGCTGGCCAGCGGGCAGCGTGTCCCTGGCCACCATCACCAACGCGCTGCCTCACTCTTCTCTCTGCCCTGGCTCTGCTTATCTGGAGTTCTCCAGGTCTGGCCCAGACACAAGTGAGTTTGGGCTTGTTCTGGTGTGTCAGATGTTCTCTTTGGTGCGTTCCCATCCACCACCTTCAGGATACCCAGTATACCCTGCTTCTTTGATGGCATTTGGGGCTCTTTCTGGGGTCTTACCCAGCCTGACTTCAACAGAAGTTGAATCCATGTGGGTGCTGGCAGCTAAGAGAGGCGGCCTTGTAGAAAGAACAAGAGATTTAGTCAGGAGACCTGAGTTCTAGTCCTGGATCCTCCTCTGGGTCTTAGTTTCCTTAATAAGATGAGCGGGTTGGACTAGATGTTCTTCTGTGGTCTAAAGACCCTCCCTGCCGTGACCTTCTCCATTCTGTTTTTTTAATTTATAATTTTGTTTTTTCTGTCACTTTTATTTCCTATCTGACTTTTGTTTTTACCTTATCTCTAATAACAAAGAACGTTTTCTCTACCTTTGGGCCCCCACCTGTACGGAGAAGGGCAGGTGATACGTTCTCGTTTCTCTTTTTTGGGGCCAATCTTTGACCTTCTGTGTTTTCAGGGTCTTCCTGGTCCTGAATTTCTGTGTATGCCTGTAACCCCTTTTTCCAGGCTAACCCTGGTCCCCTAAAGCTGTCACCATTTCTCACCTGTCTCTCAACTTATGAAAGAATTGTTCTCTAACTGAGATAAGCTGTGTGGGGAAGCCAGAGGCAGCTCTTATGGGGAGGTTTGAAAAGGAGCATAATGTAGAACGCTAGAGGAAGGGTTTACAGAATAAAGAAAACCCTGGACTCTACCATAATTCTGTATGACCTTGGATGAGTCACTTAACCACTAACTGACCCTCCCCCCTGCTAACCTCACAGGATTGTGAGGACCACAGGTGACCTCACATAGATGAAAATGCTTTGAGAAGTGTCACCAAATGGCCAGGAATCCTGTTCTGTTAGCCTGTGCCCTTTGGGTGCTAGTGGGAGAGGATTGACTGAAGGGTCCCCCCAAGGAGGTCCTCTGACTGGTGCTTTGGGGCTCTGTGCTCCCAGGTTGGCTGGTGTCTGTGGCGCTGGCAGGGCCCGACCTCAGGGGTGACCATCACTGCATAGACTGGCCTGAGAGACCCCTTCCAGCACTCAGTGCAGTGCCGGGCACATCGTGGGTGCCTGACAGATGCTGATTGATTGGCTGGTAGATAAGGGAGGCTATGTGTGCTGCTGTCTGGGAAAACTGGGCAGGAGAGTCCCCTCCTGGTGTGGGGGCCATGCTGCGCACAGATGAAGTTCAGACATTGGGCCCTCAACCAAGTTTGACAAACTGATACCTTTGCAGGGGCACAGAGGGCGCTGTGGATCTGGTGATTGGCACCCATGAGTGGTGGGCAGCTCTTGCATGATTTTGTGCTCCATGTTCTAGATTGATAGGTGGGTTGTTGGGGAACAGGGCCCATAGGCAGCCCTTGTGGTGGGTTGAGGGAAGGGTACAAAGTCCCTCTGCCATCCCAAGATTGGAGCTTACAGGAGTTTGGTTCTTGGTTCATTTCTTTCTAAGGGGTGACAGGAAAGGAAGCTGGTCACCCCTCTCTCCTCTCTGGGCCCACCCAGAACCCACAGGACAAGGCCTTCTGCCAGCCCCTCTCTAGTTGTGCCACAGTGGCATTAGTCACGAGGTAAAAACCCAGCCCAGGATAGAAGAGACCTCCCTGAGGCCTTCCAGCTCAGGCCTTTTGGGTTACAAGTGTGCCCTCCTTGCTACCCTGCGCCCCACTGAGTTTCTCTGAACGACTTTTCTAGCCTAACCTCCATGTCCTCTTTACTCCCTTACCATTGTTTTTTATCTGACTTGTGAAATCGTGAAAAGTTTATGTGAGGGGATGTTTGAGAGGCAGCTTAACCTAAGGAAAGGAGTGTCAGAGAAAACATTAAAGTCTGCACTCGGACAGTGACCAGCTCTGCACAGCCATACAGTTGGTCACTGAGCCTCTTAGAGGAAGGTCGTGCCCACCTCTTGAGGTGGCATGGAGCCGGGACTCCTTTGCCAGGAGTACTGAGCACATCCTGAGAGGAAGGAAGACTCTCAACTCCTTCTTCTTGGCAAGACCTTCAGGGGTTTCCATCTCCCCCACCCCCATCCCCCAGACTA